CATTCGTTACAAGAAATCAAAAGCTTTTGGTCGTGTTTAAAATTGATCTCGTTTTTATTTTTTATATTTTTTAAAAAATAAAAAATAAAAACGTTTTTAAAAAGACGTTTAGCGCAATAAAGATAAAAAATAAAAATGAAAACGATTTTTTGATTTAGTGTAAAATGAGAGAGAAATGAAAAACGACTTTTAGTCGTTTTTCATTTTTTGTTTTCGTTTTCTCCTCTCTCGAGCAGAGAGAGAAAGAAATATATTAATGGGTTTTTTTACACTGAAAATAATCTCTTAATAAAACTACCAAACACATTTTTAAAAATGATTTCTCTCTGAGATTAAAAACATTTTTATTTTCATTTTCATACAAAAAATAAAATTATTTTAGAATGAGTTCCAAATGCACCCTTTGTTTCTGCTAATTCCGTGACTTCCATACCTTATAAATTTCATTACTTTATATCGATATTGAAACACTTTATATTTATATAATTTTGAATTGAGTACTTCTTGTTTTTTAGTATTATTTACTAACAATTTGTATTATGATCTTTAAAGAATCTTAGAGGGTGACACAGCTAAATAACTTCAACAAAAAAAAAAAAAAAAAAAAAAAAACTATATGTTTGTTTTATTTATAGAAGCAAAGGAACATGGATGAGGGGGTTAATATATAATTTGGAAGTAGGAGAAGGATAGGTAGGAAATAGGAATAGAGGATAACATGTTGAAATACAGAGGATAACATGATGAAATAGAGAGGATAACATGTCGAAATAGAGAGGAAAAGGTGAGTGGGACCCACATGAGCCCACATGATATATATATATATATATATCGGTGAAACACACACGTGGGGTCTACACAAAAAAATGTGTGGGAGGTTGGGGCAGCAGACAAGGGCTGCGTGGAGTATCCCTTGTGTGTTCCTCCGCCGAGGGACACATCGGAGTGCCCCAACCGTCATTACCGGCTAACCATGGCACGTGGCGCTCAGCCATGTGCCCTGATACAAGGGACCGCGTTTCTCCTGGACTCCACTCCCAGCCGCCAAACCCCATAGAGAACTCTCCCCTTTGGTCCCCAATTTTTTTTGGGAACGTTTAGTTGGAGGATTCAAACCATGATTTAAATCATGATTCATGGTTCGTAATAGTATTTTCTCTCATAAAAAAACACGTAAATCAAAAATAATTCTAATCACATGATTCTAATCTATGAACCAAACGTTTATTTTTTGGCTCAATAATCCAATCAAATTAAGGGGACGTTTATTTTCTATATTAGTCTTTGATTCTGAATCATGATTCATGGTTTTTTACAGTAGTATTTTTTCTCACAAAAAATACACGTAAAACGAGAATAATTCTGAATATATAAACCAAACGTCCTCTAAATGAACAAGTACAACTTAGCAAATGTAAAACCCTTACCACCGAGAGTTATAGTGCACTAATAATAACGTATTTGTTAGGTTTCCTCTGTTTATCCATTTAAGATTTGAGCCTTCATTCTCACATAAGGTTGCTTAACCGTTTTGAGGAATTTAAGTGGGTCTTTGTGGGCCACACCATAAATAGAGAAAGTAAAAACTTGATAGATAGTCAGTAGTATAATAATTTAAACTCTTTATGCATACTCGATGGTACTTAAGATTGCTGCTGTAGTCGAAAAATTAAAAGACATAAAGTGTACTACTAAATTTTTTTATTAGTAATATATATATATATATATATATATAAACCCCTATGTAGATTTCCAAGTATTGATCTTTGTTGTAAACTTGCACTTACCTATGTCTATGTTTGTTGTCAACTAAAAGCAAAAGAGCAATGAAAAACAAAATTCCAAAAATATCCTCATGGAAAAAAAGAACAAAAGGGCGTAAAGATATAGAGCCACATACATGGATAATTTAAAATATATATATATATATATATATCTATAATTGACAGATTTTTAAGGCGTTATCTAAAAGAATGAGAAGTCTTATTATCCTATTAAATGACCGTAGTAGTAAATGGTGATGATCAATCAACATAACATACTAAGAAATGCATTTGCACTCAATGGTCGCAAATCTATCGACTGAATAAACATGGATACGTAAGTATATGCTGGATATATAAGCAATGAATACATGTGTTCATGTATATGACTTTTAATATGCACATTGTCTAGGGAATTCACTTCAAAAGGATGTTTGTCCCCTTTCTTCTTTTGGGGTTAAGACAACTTGTTCCTTTTCATTTTGGACTTTTTCTTTTATTTATTAGGTGATAAGTAGTAATTCACTGGTATTTGCATTTCATCCCTCAATCAGTCTATTCATGTATTTCATTTTCCCCTGAATCTGTGCTAATTTATTTTCTTTTAGCATTGTCATATAACTTTTCCAGTTTTTTTTGGGTCATTTAGAGACGTCTTGTTATATTAGTTGGATAAAGTCGATGTTTGTCAATTGACAAAAAAATACACCAGCCACTATTTTATAATATGCACTAAAGGTCCTTCGGTTTTGGTTAAGATGGATTAATGGAGAATTCATCTTTGATTCTATCAGGCAATTCATCTATCAAGGGGCAAAAATCCTTGAAAGCTTTGGAGTAGGGCCGGCAATATGGGTCATGACACGACGACACGACTCAAAAATGACACGAATTTTGCAGGTTAGGGTTGAGAAAAAAGAGGTTCGGGTCAGAATCGAGTCGACATGAAATTAACACGAAAAACACGGGTCAATTTCGGGATGGACCCGCCTAACCCGAACACGACACGAAACTCGTAAAAAATTAAAAAATACATATATTTTTCATTTCATATTTTAAATTTTATTTTGAACTTGTGATATCATGATAGTTATACTCAAAATCTTATACTATTATTTACGTAATTTCAATGGATGTTATTGTAATTTAATGTGTTATGAATTTTAAGTTATTTCTAATATGTAAAAAACTAAATAAAAGTATACAATTTTCGGGTCAATTTCAGATTCACGGGTCAATTTCGTGTCACGGGTCATTTTCGGGTTGTGTCGTGTCAACTCGTAAAGTGGTCGTGTCGTGTTCGTGTTGCAGTTTTTAAAAAATTTCGTGTCACGGGTCGTGTTCGGATTGACTGTAAATTTAAAAAAAAAAAACGATTAAAACACGATACAAACACGACACGTGACACAAGTTACCACCCCTACTTTGAAGGATATAGTTTTGAATCTTACGTCTCCCGATCTTCGTAGAAGGAGAAGATTGTCAATTACTAAATACATGTCTCACCCACCCTTACAAACTTCGTAATGCAAAGTAAGTAGCATTTTAGATTCAACTCCTAATTAATTAAGTGTGGCTTGCGATCACTAAAAATGTAAGAGCACTTATAATGCAATGTTAAATTAGTGTAGTAAAAAACTTAGCATTTGTATAAAAAATGACTTCGAATGGAATGTTGTTATTGGTATTAAATTTACTAATTTAGCATATGTTATTTTCAGTTATAAATTTGTCACTATATATGATATATGTCAAATTTTGATATTTATTATTAGTGGTTAATTTTTCTCATTTAATCATTATAACATTGATATTTTTAAATTATTTCAAATTAGAATTTTTTTTACAGTATTTAAAACTTAATAATCATGAATATTAAACTTAACAATTATGACCAAAGAATTGATTTAGCATCATATAAGCACAAATAAAAATTACATATCAAATATGTTATTTTCATTGCTGGTTCAAATATAATATTGATATTAGTATTGACGTTGAAGATGGTCTAACAATCATATATCATCCCGAATCGGTTCACTATAAAATATAAGAACAACATACACGATAAAATAATTTTATCATGAACATAATAGTTGAACAATTGTGTCATTATTCCGGCGAGTGTCCCAAATATAGAATTATTACTTTGTTGTTTACTCCTCGACAAGTCAAATCTTATTTTCACATTATGATTTCCTTTTTTTACTTTGTTCTTATTTTCACATTAAGAAACTTCACACGGCAATAGAAAATGAAAATTATCCACGAGACTGGTGTCTTAAAGGTTGTTGAAATTCCCTATATACATAATTCCATCTGTACATGTAAAACAGTAAAGAAATTCATGTGTGTACGCAAATTGCTGAAGGTATGATGCTTCAGGAGAAATGGGAAATGATGAAAATGCTGAGAGACCATTTTCTGTTAACCAAATGTGTTCTCTCCACTGTAAGTAACATAGAGAAACCCATCTTCATCCTTCTTTTCTTCATAGATGGTGGACATTAATGATCCTGCAATGTTCAAGAATAATCTTCAGCACTTCATTTTTGAAAGTTAAACACGACATGTCAACATTTTCGAAGTCTGATTTTGAAATTTTAAACGACGAGAGAGACGCGAAAGAGCGCTGTATAGGGACAGAGTGAGATTGCAGTTTATGGGACGTTTGGAAGGGAGATTCATGTCATGATTTGAATCATAGTTCGTGGCTCGCTAAAGTATTTTGTCTCACCAAAAATACACGTAAAACGAGAATAGTTCTAAATCTATGAACCAAACGTCCCCTTAGTTTACCTGTAGGTGGGAGAACATTGTCCACAAATATGAAGATTGCCTTTTCCGCGCTCAGTTTAATTCTCTTCCGAATCACGTAGACAAATTGACCCACGGTCAAGTCAGCAGGA